GAGAAAGACGGCAGCCGTTGCCTTGGAAACCCTGCCCAGCGGGCTGGCATCACGGGACTTTGCTGGTCCTGCTCCATGGCTGACATCCAACGCTGACTAATTCAAGTTTGGTTTGGTTGTGGCTTTGCTCAGGGGATACAGAGAGGGGGGAGAAAACAGAACTTGAGTGAGTGAACCGAGTACAGCAGGCCCGCATTCTCATTGAGAGCAACACAAGCGATGACAAAAGAAATTACCCGTGCATCTCGATAATGAAGATGCTTGTGAAATGCTGCTGACCAGAGATGGTGTTAAATAAAGTGCTCACGTGCCCATGTTTTCATTCTGTTCAGAATTCCATGAGCCAATGAAAGTATTGTCTTCAAGACATGCCACCTGCCTGCCACCCACGACTGTTAATCAAGCGGCAACAGCAAGTGTGGGTGGAACTTCTATTCTAAGCCTCTTTTGTGGTCTTCATGCTCTAAAGGGCAAGGTTCTGCTGCTGTCCATCGGGTTACACATGCTTTGTGTGATCAGCTACTGACCACGGTCTCCATTTCAGATCAGTATCGGTTGAGTATCCCTTAGCTGAAATGCTTGGAACTAGAAGTGTTTCAGATTTCAGATGTTTTCAGGTTTGGGGATATTTGCATACACATAATGAGGTATCTTCAGGATTGGACCCGAGTCTATACGTGAAATTCATTGATGTCCCATGTACTTATTAGACACCTAGCCTGGAGGTGATTTTATACAATATGTTGAGTGACCAGCATCTTGACTGTGACTCCTCACATAAAGTTGGGTGTGGAATTTTCCACTCATGACGTTACATCATTATGACTCTTGCAGATTTTGGAGCATTTCAGATTTGGGATTTTCAGATTCGAGATACCCAACATTGACTTAACTAAAATGAACAAAATAATTCAGATTGCTTTTATTTTTTTTTTCATTTTTTTTCAGATTGCTTTTATAGATCGATTTGAAAACCTCCTCAATATATAGTTGAGGGGACTGAGACTGGGAAATGGGAAGGCAAGGATTCAAAATGCCCCAACAGTGAGAGGCACAGCAGGATCCAGACCCCAAGGCTCCAGGCTTCCCAGTCCTCTCTGTATCCCCTGAGCAAAGCCACAACCAAACCAAACTCTCAGCCTGTGCGACATTCTAATGAATATAATAATTTAATGCATGAGTAATCTAATACAGAAGTATAAAAAAATCTATTGCAGCAAATGAAAGTCTGACATAAAATGTACAGTCATTCCCCAGGATCTACAGAGGATTGGATTCTGCACCCACAAGGATATAAAAATTGGTTCAAGTGCTTTGTATAAAATGATATTGTTTGCATATAATCTACACACATCCTCCCATACATTACATCATCTTTTGATTACTTATAATACCTAATATAAGGTAAATGCTATGCAAAGTTCAGGGAATAATGGCAAACAAAAGAGATGTTCACTCAGAGGCAATTTCTTAAAATATATTTGATTCATGACTGGTTGACTCTGTTAATGTGGAACCTATGGATAGGGAGGGCCAACTGTAATTTTGTTAATTTACTAAGTTTGGGAAAATGTTCTAATCTAAATAATATGCTTTGGATGTCTTGTTCTGTAAGGAGATAAAGCTGCTCCTTGATCTTTCCAAAGGAGTCGATGGCACTGATACAAGCCATGCAGGATTCCTGGGATGTCTCTTGAGTCAGACACATCAGCAAGGTGATCAAAAGTGTGTATGTTCTGGAAGTCTGACACTTTTCAGTTGGTAATTTCAAACCAAACTGGAAAACACAGCATTAAAGGATTGAATTCAGAAAGCATGGGGGGCGCGGGAGGGTAGGGGGACGGGTTTGGTAATGAACCTGAGTCATGGAAACATAAGAAATGACTGAAAGAGAAACCATAATTAACTTCCCGTGTAAAATCTGAGTCTCTTGGGGGAAACGCTGCAGGAGCGTAGGTGTCAACAATTTTAGGAATGAATAACCTAAACTGTTGGCAATCGGTTGTGGGGTGGGGGGGGGGCGGCTATTAATTTAATTAAGGAGCTTTGTTACAAGAGTGGATGGATAAGCTCCCGGTCACAATGAGGCACCTACCCATCGGAAGGGGCTCTTGCAGCCTTCAGTGTGGCTGTGGACAGGCTGGACAGGATGAATATTTATGTGGTGAAATGCGGCCCCTTGTGGTCTGAGTTAGGAAAAAAAAAATCTCAGTCTTGGTCTGGGTCTGAGAGTAGCACAAACCTAGGGCACTAGTTGTCAGATGTGGTACTAGAAAAATGACTATGTATTTGGGCAAATTAACAGTGGTGCCAGAGTGGATGAGCCTAAGGAAGGACCATCTGACTCATGAAAGCTGGGCAGCACTGCCCCTCAGCCCACTTGTCTCACACTGGATGTGATGGGACACTTAGAGTCTGAACTCCCAAGTTCCAGTCCAGCAGCCTGGATGAGGCCTGAAGGTCTGCTGTCCACCTCGGACACCTTCCTGGCCACCCACAACCCTCCTATTAGAGGAGCAGCTACGGGTTGGCATCTGTTTGCACTTATGGATACTGCATTAATACACGCCGTGTTCTTCTTTCCTGGTGTTCTTGGTCACTGAATGTGGTACACTCTAGGACAACTTATCTCCAAGTCTCATTTTGTGATTTGCACTTTGCAAGGGGCCCATGTGTGTATCTATCTGCTGGGCTTCTCGCTCCCTCAGCACACGCAGAAGCCCACTGTAAGCATCTTGTTTCAAATAGAGGAGTCCCATTTGCACTTCCAGTTCTAAGAATTTATTGTATTTGGTTAGAAAAAAATTTTTAAATACCTAGTATTTTTATCTTGGTGTGGGAGTAGAAAGAAGGAATAGGCAGTAGACAGTAGAATGATCACAGGTGGGCAATTACACATGCAAATGAGTTCAATGTGGTAATCGTCCCTTGAATTCTTATTTACAAGGTTAACATTTCATGCTAACCCCACACAACCACTGCACTTAGGTGTGTGGGTTTTTTTAAATTCTTATATGTCAATTCTGAAATATTAAAACCAGTTTAGAACATTTTGATATAAACATTTTTCTCAGCTTAGTTTTTGCAGTTTGTTTCATTTACCATCATGACTGATCTTACAGGGAATAAATGGGATCAAAATTGCTCTCTTCATTTAAAAACTATTATTGTCTCCATCCAGCGTACAAAGTTCCACACTTTGGGGGAAAAGTCCCCACACTGGGGGGGAAAAAATAACCCAGTCTTGAAGAAACCATTCCCACAAAAATAGAATACAAAACCAAAGTAATAAGGCAAGAAGAATATCCTGAAATGATACGGGAGTGATGAAGCAGGAGGGGCTCATTCCGGCAAAGGAATGGACAAGGACTTCGGAGAAAGTGGCATCCAAATAGGGCCTTGAAGGAGGACTAAGAACTACACAGAAAAGGGGCAGAGATGAGGCACGGGGTGTGTCTGATTGGCAAAAGATCAGAGTGCCAGCAGGATAGGGAAGATGGAGCCACAAAGCCACCTGGGGCCAGATCGAGGGCTCCATATCGAGAAGTGTATTTTGTGTGCAATGGGGAAATGCAGAATGTGGAGGGCCTAATATAACTACAGGGTGTTCCCTGGATTTGAGGGTCGGGGATTACAGTCATTAAATGATGATTTCAGCAGGAGATAATGAAGCCTAAAAGGAAAATGGACAGGGTAGAGGGGAATGAGGAAATTCGGGAGAGAATCAAGCATCCCTGACAATCGACTGGAGGTGGAGGCAAGGCATGGTGAAGTGGATGTCACTCTAGGGTTTCAGGTCGAGGGCAGGATAGTCATTGAGAATTCAGAAAAAGCAGGAAGGGGAGAGGGCTGAGAGGGAATGACGGGCTCTGTCCTAGCAAACAGGCTCCGTGTGCAGAGTGCCTTTGGTGGGCAGGGGTGTCTGCAGATCATCAGAGATTCAGATCCAGGGTCCAGAGACAGAATAGGATCATTGAAGTCGGAAGTATTCAAGGGAAACTGGAGAGGCAGTAGCAAGGGCAGAGGCAGAATGCAGGGGAAATCAGGGGAAAGGGGAGCAGCCAGCAGAGCCCCAGCAACAATTGCTTTTGCACTTTCTCTGCTTGTTTTCAAGCTACTCCCCAGTTCCGTACTCAGGGAGAACCCTAAAGATGTATATAATGCCATTTACGTAAAATTCCAAGTCACGTGCTTTTGGGTACTTTGCTCTTCCTCCAGAAGGGGTGAAGAACGTGACTAATCCCTCAAGTGGTAAGAAATAGCGCTTCATTTTAGATGTATTAGGTCTTGGTCTTTGGGGTGTTTAAAGGTAAGTCTTTCTGTAAGTATGGAAGGAGTCTGAAAATATAAAGGACAGTGTGGGAAAACAGCCCCAGGGGTCCAGGGGAAGCAGATTTTTTTTTTTAAGCAGTTGCTGCTTTCTCTGGTGTTAACACCCCTGCCATGGCCAGTTACAAACTACCGATGGCCTAACCACCAGTTCACACTACTCCTGAACACTTAACAATGGCTCTCCAGAGCTGGCTCCTGGGTGTCACTGGAGCTTTACACGTCCCATCGTACTTGATGATTAAACTCCACTGACAAATAAACCACTAAAGAGTGTGGATGTCATTCCAGGTGCTATTCTTTAGATCTGAAATGTCACCCAGAGGCCCAAAGGCTTGGTCCCCAGAATGGCCCTACTGGGAGGTGACGGTAACTTAAAAGGTGGGCCCAGGGGGAGTTCAGGCCACTGGGGTCTACCCTTGAAAGGGACTGCGGGACTCTGGTCTTGACCTTGTCTTCTGGCCGTGAGCTGAGAGGCTTTGCTCTGCCACATGATCCTACCTCGAAGTGCTGCTCACCACAGGCCCTTAAGTAACAAGCCACAACAACTGTAAGCCAAATTGAACCTTTTCTCTTTCTAAGTTGATTATCTCAAGTATTTGTGGTAGTAACAGGAAACTGACACCCCACATAAACACATTTGGACAAGTTTTTATTTTTTTTTAGAGAGAGAGAGGTCTTTTATTTTTTAGTTTTCGGCAGACACAACATCTTTGTTTTTTGTATGTGGTGCTGAGGATCGAACCCGGGCCGCACGCATGCCAGGCGAGTGCACTACCACTTGAGCCACATCCCCAGCCCCTTGGACAAGTTTTTAAATATGATGTTTCATTATAAGTAGACAAAACTCAGGGTATAAGGGATTATAGGTTGAGTATTCGTTATCCAAAGTGTTTAGGACTTAGAAGTGTTTTAGATTTTAAGGTTTTTTTTACATTTTGGAGCAATTCAAATCTTGGATTTTCATATTACGGCTGTTCAACCTCTATTTAATAATGTAGAAATATATCAGGAAATATTTTAAGTAAAAGTAATTATGTCCAGTATGATCCCAAATTCCCATATTAAAATGGCCACACTCAAAAGTGTGAATCATAATTATCTTTGTCAGACTTGTGGTTTTATTTTTTTCTTTCCACTATTTTCCTATTTTTTAAAATTTCCTCAATGTTCACATATTTGTAACTGGAAAAGAAACTAGATAATTGAGTGCATTTTTTTTTTCTTTCATATCCACCAATCTTATGGGTAGGCCAGTGTATTAGGGTTCTCTCTACAGGAACAAAATCAGCAGGAAGTATAATCATAAAAAGGGGATTTATTAGGTTGTCCTAAGATACCACATGCTGGATAACCCACAATGGCCATCTGCCGGCTAGAGAGCTAGAAGAATCAGTAGCTTCGAAGTCCAAGAGGCTAAAGCCCCAGAACAAGAGGGATCAACAAGCTACCCTAGCACAAGATGGAAGGCTTCTGAAGAATCACTGGCAGAGTACGCTTTGGAAGAGTGAAAAAGCAAGAGCCGATATCCTCAGATGATCACAGCAGCAATCAAGAAGTTGTTCAAAAAGAATGGAGCTTGCATCTGCTTCCTTGCTCTTCTTTTATTCTATCCAAGCCATCATCCTATAGGATGGTGCTGTCCTTGCTTAGGGAGGTCTCCATTTCAGTTGGCTATCCCACATGCCAATCATTCCTAGACACACTCTCACCCACATACCCATAAACCTCTTAATCGTTGGCATCTCTTAATCCAATCAAGTTGACAATTCAAACTGGCCTTTATAGCCAGCTAGAAGTTAAATCAAGTCAAGTCTCCTGAGGACTAAATCTTTATCATTTATTTTTGTGATGCCTGTCTTCAAAGTACGATCAAGTACATCTTCTAATTTGATCATCCTTGATGTAAGAAAGGTAGGTAATTATTTTACAGATGAGAAAAAGAGAATCAAATTGATGGGCCCCAGGCCACATGGCTAATAAAGCAGTTACACTAGGACTTTGAATGACAAGACAATATGACTTGGGACATTGACACAATAATTCTGTTATTCTCAGGAATATTAGAACTTCTAAGCAGAAGTTAAGAGAAGTACTTGTACATATTTTTATGTGACTTCATTTGCATCCAGAAACAAAGAGAGCCCTGGGGAAATCTGGGGTCACCTTTACATTCCTGAGAGGCCTGCCATGGTTCCATGCTCAGCGAGTATGCAAATTCCATGGCACCAGGATTTCTGACCTCAAATACCACGATTCAGCTCGTAAAAATCAATCTTAGAGCACTTTGTTTTAATCTTTATTCTCTTCCTGGTCATAAAAATAATACATGCTTACTATTAATAAATGTCTTACACTACAGAAAACCAAAAAAAAAAAAAAAAAATTCTCCCAGAATCCTACCCCTAGAGATACTTATTACTCTCTGATAAATTTCATTAGCATACAGTAGTAAATAAGTAGCATAAAGTGGGACCCTTATATACATTTGTGCTACTCTGTTCTTGTCTAAGTTTCCACATGGTTCTGACAAATAACTCAATAGACAGGTTCTCCAGAGAACTTTAAGCATTAGTTTTTAAAGAAGATTCAATCACGCAAGATGCAGAAAAAACTCTTTAAGGGCCGGGGCTGTGGCTCAGTGGTAGAGCACTTGCCTAGCATGCGTGAGGCACTGGGTTCGATTCCCCTGCACCATAAAAAAATAATAATAAAATAAAGGTACTGTGTCCATCTACAACTAAATATATATATATATATATATATATATATATAGAGAGAGAGAGAGAGAGAGAGAGAGAGAGAGAGAGAACTCTTTAAGATTTTTACCATTCACTATTTAATACTGTCCAAAGTATTTTTTTAAACATTTATTTTTTAGAAGTAGTTGGACATAATATCTTTATTCTATCTATTTATTTTTATGTGGTGCTGAGGATTGAACCCTGGGCCTTGCACGTGTTAGATGAGAACTCTACCGCTGAGCCACAATCCCAGCCCACTGTCCAAAGTATTAAAAGCAAAATTATTCTTTAAAAAATAGAAAATCAATAATAATGAGTCTGACACAGAAAGAAAATAATTCTAAAAACTCAGCCCAGTTTCTTATCAAAATACAAACTCCTAAATTTCAATTCCAGCAAGTATCACAAAATAGCTTAAAAATTCTAATGTGGGAAATAATCACCTCTTTGCCATAAAATACAGCTGCAGAAATGATTCTACAATTCTTCTCATTTAAGACATAATGGATGGGAAAGAACAAGAGACACGCAACATGGAACAGAGTTCAGCTTTTGCAGCTCATAAAGGACAATTTTGATTCAACCTCCCACAGCTTCGTTTGCAATGCTTTCAAGACATCTTCCATCTAAAGAGTTGAAAAAACATAAACACAAGCATGAATATATGGCTAAAATTATACATGGTTAAATGCAATTAAAATATACACTGTTAATGCAATTTTCAAGTTATTCATTATACAAAATAGATATTCAGTATTTAACAAAAACTATTTAGGGCCGTAACTTTATTTAAATAAAATATAATTCAACTATTCACTTGCCACCATCTTGCCTGTTTGACCACAAGAAGACATTAACATTCAATACAAGTGTGTTTATACCAAGGAAACTGACTCCAATAAAATAGTGATTTGATTCAAAGCTATATTTCTAGTTTAATCATTTTAGAATACATACTGACTTGATTTTGGCATAAAATGTCCTCACTAGTTTGTTGATAAAGTCTCAGCTTAATTTACAGATCAGTTCCTCCCAAAATTCAACTCTACTGACAACTGAAATACGCACTCTGTTGCCATAAAGGGCTAAGATCAAAACGGATGGCATTCTGAGTCTCACTACGTAGAGAACTTTTTCACTGACAGGAAATTGTTTGTACAGACATAAAACATTCAGAATAAAATTACCTGTTTTAGAGACTTTTCTATTTCAACTCGGCTTTCAAGATTAAAAAGCTCTTTATCTTCTGGCATAATTTGTTTTTCGGAGGACCCTAAAGTATAACTGAAGTGTAACACAGTACAAAGTTAAAACATGTAAAAGAAACAAATGCTAAATTTATGTCAGTTAATACTAAAACTCTAAGTACATTATATACCAAGTAAACAAACAAAACAGCTATTTTTGGTAAAAGCTTATCTAGGAAGCTGTACTACACAAAATCATGTCATTCTGTACAGCAGCTTTGTCCAGATACTTCTACATATTCACTGTCCACAAACATTTCATTACTGGAATAAACCTGCTCTTTATTGAGTGGCAAAATGTTAGAGTTCAAAACTCTAAAGACAAGTTTAAAGACCGTGAAGAAGATGGTGGTCCTGAAGAAGCCACTGCTTTATGGTCTTACATAAATTTTGGAAATGTATCTTCAAAGTTGACTTTTAATAAATAATAATTTGTGGGGTCAACTCATGCTTTCCAAAATTTGCGCAGTTTCAACAGTTATGCTCCAAGTCATATGTGGCTCAACTCTCCAGGTCGTGAGATACTATGGCTTGGAAAAGTATTTATAGCAGAAAAAATGACCTGGTAACAGGTGGAAAACAGGCCCAAGTGTTGGCAACCAAATAAACCTAGACATGTAAGGAAATTTGATTCTTTTGCATTTCTTTAGTAGAAGTCTTTTATTACATGTAACAATTTTGATGTTGCTTCTTTTGTCAAATAAGTCTGCCCTTGGAAATCCTATAAATTATATTCCTGAAAAAAACAGCACTATGGGCAAAACTGCAGAAGGCAATTAACATGCTGTTTATAAAATCAAATAAAAAAAGGAGATGAGGTAGAAAAACTAAATGGCATTTAAGTAACTTCTAAAACCATAAATAAACATTACAGAAGGTATCTACTTCTCAAATAAAAACAGAATCCTCGGCATTCAAATCCTCTCCCAAAAGTAACTTGGATTCTAAATGCAACTGCTCAGGAAAAACAGCTTCAATATTATGATCTTCTGGGGTAAAACCTCCTACACATTTTCTTTTACACAGATAATATCACTTTTGAAAGTTTTGTACCAACTCTGCTGGATTCAAATTTCACGTCTTTTATACCTGTACTTTCAAAGACATGGTAAAATTCTCATGGATATTAAGGTAGCATTTGTCTGGGCCCACGTCTTCTATTCACATATTAAAACCAAAACAGACATCTCGCCAGACACTCCTACAGGCTTTGTAGCAAGGAACAGAACTTGTTATATTATCCTTTTGTCTAAGGCCTCTGAAAAGTTTGTGGATTATAAAATTTTGATCTAAAACTGTCTAGCTTCAAAAAAAGGGGCGGGGAGTTCAAAACTGCAGTGATTTAACAAGGAGTAAATGGATTAGAAATTCATAAAAAGAATACTGTTCTAAATTTTTTAAAGAGAAAAATCTAAGAAATTCAACACAGGGAATGAAATGCCTCAAATAATGAAAGTATAGGCACTTTTCTTAATTTGTTTCTCTTTCCTAATATAATACAAGTTTTCTTAGGCATGCTTAAAAATCTCGAGGGCAACATCTTTATCAGGATGAGTGAAAATGCCCTGGGGTCAAAGATTTACTTAATTTTATGCTTCCCATTTAAAAAGGCCAATAAATTGGAAGACCATTTAGATACCTGAAATTCCCTGATTCTGTCACTAGACCAGAACTGAATGCTTCCTAACCATTACTCTAAAGAAATCTTAAGTCTTTTATTACATGAACAATGTTACTTTTCCTTGTATATCTCCTTGTTCAAGACATTTTCTTGTGTATCTCAAAGAGAAGTAGACCATTCTTTACTATTGGAAATAGTTAGGACTTTGTGCCTCTACCTTTCCAGAACACCAGAGACTTCTTTCCTAACCAATTTTGAAATTCCTATTTTTTCACAAAAGTCTAGGAAGCTAAAAACTGAGGGAGGGAAGGAATGGAAAACATACACTGATCCTCACAACTGCTTAAAAAAAAATCTTACAAAGCTACATTCAATTTTTTAAAGTAATAATTTAATAATTAATAATAATTTAATGCTTGACTTTTCCAGTGCCAAAGCAGTCAGATCAAAGCAAAACAAAAATTAGTGATTTGACTGTCAGAAATTATTACTTGAAAATAAATTTTAACAAACAGTGTTGATTTAGTTCTGATGTTTTCATATCATCTTCTCCGTAAACTTAACTGAGAAATCAGAAGGAAACTTACCTTTCAATGGCTTCAACACTGAGGCAAAACAAGTCCCTCTTATAATCTAGATTCTTGGGAGTGCACCTGAATACATAGCCAAGATGGAGGGAGCAACCCGCACAGTACAGGGTCTCGAGAATGCTGTCATAAAGAAATGCCACCACTTTAGCAAAATAGCAACTCACTATGACCAAAACCCCATTGTTAAATCCATAAATGCTAAGTACTTAAGCTCTAAACTGTGCCACTCTGATCATATTGATTCATATACGTGGAAGGAAAAAATGATGGTAAGATGCTTATAAGACATATTACACTGTATTCATCTCCAGGCACACTGCCTTGCACACCTAATGACACGGACATACAAATGACAAGAAGAGAGGATACTGATACCTTCTAGAATGTAAACTCTTCTGTCCAGTATTTAGAAAATTAGACTGACTTTGGAAATATGACTAAAAGAGTCTACATGTCCTTTTAATGTCACTGTCTAACCAATAAGCCCACCAAGGGTCACTAGCGCTCTAGGCAAAGGTACTAGGCAATTTTTTCCTTTAATAAACCAGAAAATATACAGTTGTCGAGACTTTCAGGCCATCTGTATCTGTGGTAACTATCAACTTTGCCACTGGACCATGGGAGCAGCCAGAGACAAGACATAACTGAATAATCTGGGTTCCAACTAAGTGTACTCGCAAAAAAGGGCCCAGTCCATGGGCCGTAAGCTTGTCTAGCTTGCTCTAGTAGAAGGTGTTTGCTTACTTAAAAAGACTGCCTAAAGTTAATGATGAATCATAGAAGACTGATAAGTTGCAAATAATTTAAGTCTGGTAGAGATGCAAATGATTTCTGCTAGTAGAAAAGATAACTCCAATGGTTGCTGCTGTGTTGCAGGACATTAACTAGATCTGACCTGAATGGCAGTACCCTCCCTCTCATCCAGCTTTGCCATGTTCTGGTTCCCTCGTTAACTGGTTAAATAAATATCTGACATGTGTTCAATATAAGTTTGATAGAATTAACTTTCTTAAAACATTACACTTTGACACAGTACTTTTCTGTCAACCACAGATATCCTACATGAGTGGTTCACAAGTATTTTGCTTAATGATCCACCCTTACTTCTCCACATAACTGTTCCTGCATATGGACACTTCCCAACTCAGTTTCCACACATGTGAACGTACCCCGCTGCTACCATGCCAATTTCTGTCTTCTTTAAATGTGGCTTAAAATCCACTGTTCTCACCAAAGCCTGTCACACTGGTCACTCCAAATTTATGATTCTATAAACAGCTATACTAAAACTACAGTCCCAACACATAGATCTATTGATCACAGTCATGAAATATATATCCTAAAAGATTATTACTTCAAGAGCATTTTAACTCTTGCTCAGTATGTGAGCCAGTCATCATCCCTAAATACCTGTTCCTTCTATCAGCAAAAGGAGCTTCTAAGAACCAGACACCATATTATAGAGTGCATGAGTATTTACCTACAGATACCGGGAGATGTTTCTAATTACTGCAACAACATATGGGAAAAAAGATCAAAATGGATCACCACCTGATAAATTATGAGTTCTCACTAGTGATATAATTAGCTAAATAACATACCACTGATTCCATATTAAGCACCTAAGGGATTTTTTTAAAAAAGGTTTTATGTAAGAAATATAAAAGCATCTACCCACAGTAAAATGGCAAATCTCATGCTACATACCAACCTTATAATAATTAAGAGGCCACCACTTAAAATTATCAAGCTTGTGAACTAACATCTAATGTAAGTGTCATCAGCCAAGAAAGAACACTCAGAGAAATCTTGGGGTTGACCTCAAAACACACTGATCGTTGGTTAAGACTGTTTTAACTTGAATTATCAAAAACAGTTTAGGCACCACCAGAGTACAAACAAACCCTTCACATTTCAGTATGGTGTGAATATGGTTTGTTCAAATTCATGCTGAAATCTAATCCCCTTTTGAGGTATTAAGAGGATGCAAACCAAGACTTCTTATGGTGTTCAAAGCTGGGACCTTTGAGAGCTGATTAGGATTAGATTAGATCACTAGGAGTTGGTCCCCATGATTGAATCCTGGTGGCTGTATCATAAGGGGGGCAAAGAGATCTACACATGCAAGCTCCCTGTCTCCTGCCATGTGGTGCTCTGTACCACCTGGCGACTCAGCTAATAAGAAAGCCATCACCAAATGTGGCCCCTAGATCTTGAATCTCCAGAACTACAAGCCAAAATAAACCTCTTTTGTTTATAAAGTACCTGCCTCCCGTATTTTCACTATAGTAACAAAAACAGGCTAAACCACACCTGTAGAATAATCCCAGGGGACAATGAAGGCTGAGAGCCACTATCACTACAGCGTCATCCTGCAGACACGGCTGATAAGTTTTTGTCAGAATTCACCCTTATCGTTGAACAACAATGTTGAAAAAGCAGTGCAGAAATCATGAGGTAATTTTAGACGAAGAATGAGTTAGGTTGAAAGATCCTTAACAAAGGGCAGAGTCAGAATGTACAGAGGAAACAGTATTGCCTCCTTCGAAAGCCCACAGTGCTTTTCTACCGTCAGCACATTGGTTGAGACAGGTAGGGTGGCTCTATCAAAAAATGCACACACATGCCAAAGCAACATGGTTTTTCCAAAAGTGGAGGTACACGGCCTCAGTGAAACTCAAGACAATTTAAGGCAGTGTGAACAATGGGTTTAGGTGATACAAGTAAACAACATTAAATAACTCTGGATCACAGAGTGAGAAAATCAATTCCTTTTCAATTATCTACCAATCCTCATTATAAAAGAGAAGAAAGTCTGTTTGACTAGATTGTTTTTAACACGTGTCTCATACTTGCCAATCTTTTTAACAGTAAGAGAACAGACCTCAGGAACTGGTCAGCAATGATATTTTGGCCAGACCTAAAAATATTCATTTCATTGTCATTACCTTGAGATTTACTTTAAAGTTATGATCAATGAAGAATTTATGGAAGTAATATAAAGATATCTTTAAAAAATAAATTTAAACTCCAATTTTGAATTAATTTAATGAAAACACACTAAGAATACAAGAGTGCAGCTGGTACACAGACATGGCAGAAAATGGAGAAGATGACATCAAATGACCAGACTTGGGAAGCAGAGATGACAGAACACTTCAGAGAGACCCAAGCATCATCCAAGCCCTTTCAGTAAATCAGCCCCAGCCTTAGTGAAGTTCCAACCTCCCTGCCTTGTCCTCTTCATCCACAAAGTGAAAAATGATCTGAGTTTTCAAAGTCTTAATCACCTGCTTGCCAACAGCACTATTTGTCACATCTACATATTACCTATATCATTATCAATGTAACTTTCCTTTGAGTAAATTTTTAAAAATTAAAATACATTCCTTGTATAGGATACCCTATCGTTACTAAAAATGAAGTCAGTATTTTTAGTAATTAAAATATAATTATCAAAACAAATTTTAAAAATTAAAAAAATATATATAATTATCAATGTATGCTTCTGGTGTACTACCACCTAAAATTATTTCATATACCTCAGTAAGATACATTTCTCATTTTTGGCAACAATTATATGAGACAGAGCTTCCCATTTAGCCACTTGCAGCTGATGGGTGGCAGATATGGCAAGATATCTGTCCCCTCAACCATTGCAGTAGCCACACAGGGCCTGGGATTGCTGCAGCCCCAAGGGTTGGTTACTTATGGCCATGGGCAGCCTTATCTGTTTACCCCAATAAGCTGTATATATGTGTACACACGTAGATTTTCTTTTTCTTTTTTTTTGTGGTGCTGGGGATCGAACCTAGGGCCCTGTGCATGCAAGGCAAGCACTCTACCAACTGAGCTATATCCCCAGTCACACGTAGATTTTCTATATGTTCCCTGACATTTAGGTAGCACCTGTCTTGACTTTGAGATTTTATGATAGAGATATTTTTATTCTCTGTTTTATTTCAATTCTCTTCAGCATCAAGCCAAAAGACCCATAAAGGCAGTGTCAGAATATGCCCTCAGAAGTTCAGAAACATCCATTTCACTATCTAAAGGGGACCAACCACCATCACTGAAGAAATGATATCTTTGAATGACCAATATTATACTGATTCAATTACCATGAAAACAGTTTTAGCCTAAGTAATCACTTGGGATAATGGGATGATGGAAGAGTTTCATCTGAAAATAAGCATTTTCTCTAAAGTAATATCACAAACATACAACCTTACTCACCAACCATTTTCATCTTTACGTTTGGAAAGCTTCTGCTCTTTATCCACAGAAACATTACAGGAAACACCTGGGAAGAGAGAAAGTAAAAACGCTTTATTAATGTATTTTGGGATTTTACAGAGGACTTCCAGAACAAAATAAGAGACCAAAGTCACACACACAAGGATGGTTCAAAACTCAATGTATAGGGGTCTTCAGGAAAAGATGGTGGGAGAAGAGTTATTTTATTCCCTTCCTTTGGAAATCAGTGACATTAACAAAATAAATAAAGTCAAAGGGAGGGGTTTCAATCAGTAGTGGAACTTGGAACAATGAGAATCTAAAATCACAGACTACAGAGAACATCTGCCAGACAGAGTAAAATTGGGAGCAAAACCAAAGAAGTTGCTAAAAGCCAACAGATACACCTCCAGACTGCAAATGCAGAGCTCATTTTTCTAAAAATAACTGAAAGGGTCCTTAGTATCCCAGCTAAGTATCTTTTACTTAGACCATGACTTGGACGAGGCTCACAGCTAGACCACAGGAAGACGTTCCCAGAGAATTGGAGAAAAGACATCAGACGTAAGAAGGACAAAAGAGATTCTTAATTCCACCTGCTTCTACAGTCTACCATAAGTCAGTACATCCCACTTCCACCTGCCCAACTGCTCAGCTCAGAGGCTGGGGAGTCATCCTTAGATGATGCAGTTCTGGGGAGTACACCCAGCCCTGGTCCTTGGTTCTCCACCTCCTCATCCTGCTCCCCTGTATCCACTGCACTGCTGTCATGTCAGCCCTACTTCACAAACCTTGCTCCAGCCCCCAAACCACCAGCACCGCCTACTGCACTAGCAGTACAGACCTGCAGTAGTGCTGACTGACCTACCACATTTCCACTCCTTTTCCTCCTTCAATGCTTTCTTTTTGGAAGATGAGGGAAGACAACTTATGATGACTAACCAAACTCAGGGAAGGAAGGCCTATGAGAAGTTTTCTTATAATAATAATAAAGCATTAGAGTTATCCAAGTGTTCTTTATTGGTCTCTCAAAGGGGTAGGGAGGTGGGTGTAAATCAAATTATCTAAAGCTAATAAACCAAGATATTTGTATATAGTTTTTAAAATTTAAAAACTACTGACATAAAAAACTAAATCATGAAAACAATAGCACTTTATATGTAAAATTAATATGGCAAAAAATAGAAAAGCTATAAAAACAAGACAAATAAAATGAAAGACTTAACATACTATTTCTTAAAAGGCATATATAAGATAAACCCATATACCAAAAGTAAGGGCTCCTACTCTATCAAAATTCAACCTGAATATATGCCGTTCTAATCATATAGTATTGGAAACAACCTAAACCTCTATCAATAGCCAGATTGGGCAGATCGACAACACTCTCATTAGAGAAATCATTGAAATGGCACTTGGGTCTTACTCAAAACATATAGCACACATTAACTCACTCACTTCTCACCAATACCCATGTGAAATTTACCCCAGTTGTATAGAAGAGGAAAGGAAACTGAGGCACAGAGAAGTTAACTAGCCTGCCCAAGGACATGCAGCTAATCAACGGCAGACCAGAACTCAAGCACAGTCTAGAGCCTTCATCACCAAGCCATACAGCCCCTCAACAAGAATACACTAAGCAGCTGCTAAAACGAGGCGTATCGTGTTCAAATAATATGGAAAATATTCAGAATATACGTATGCGGCAAAAAAGAGAACTGTGCCCATTTAGTCTTAATGATATGAATGTAATCTCAAGTCTTTTTGAACCTTTAGCATTTGAATAAGTGCCTATGTGTATGGAGCGTATCTGGAAGTTTAAGTGAGAAATTAACAGCCCGCAGATTCCCGTGGGGAGCAACCCGTACTGGTCAGGCTACACCTCAAATGGTCCCTTGTTTCTGAATAATGCTCACGGCTGCTCATCCAACCGCTGCTCTTCTGGATGGGGACCCCATAAAAAGAGCCGTCACTCATGAACCCAACTGCTGGGGTTGAAGTGGCATCCCCTTTCTCCACAGAAAAGCCCTCTTCACCATGGCTGATTTTAGGACTATCAGCAAAAGAGTCTCTGCGAAAGAGTCCAATCTATTTTCATGTTGCCCTGTTTACTTGGCCACTGGCCGGGAAGATACCAGCACTCCAGGTGCTGGACACCCCCTTACTAGTTTTCACAAACGTATCCAGTATATAGTACCTTGTAGAAATGTGCAAACAAGGCCTCTCGCCTTGAGCTGGGCTTCACAGAGATGTCTACATTTTTAAAATAAGTTACCAATTGGGCTCCATGGTAACAGCTGGGGCGGGGAGAGGGGAGAAGAAGCTCTCCCCTTCTCAGGTGTTGTCCTTGAAGAGTTAACTTGCCCAGAACAGTGAGAGAAAGAGCTGCTTTTATGTGAACTTCTGCAGACTGTGAACTTCTGAGCCCCTCCCCTTACACACTTGGTATAAAACTCTGAAACTCCCTGAACTCGGGGTTCAGGGGATTGATTGATTACAGCAAAGGCTGTGCCCTCTGAACCTAGCTGCAGCCAAATAAAACTGTTTCCTGCTATCTTCGGTGCCTTGCCTCCTTTATCCCTACAACAGAGTGAGCCTCCTCCTCCCCTTTTCCTGAGAAAGCTCACCCAGGGCCTCTCTGCTTTCCAAGCCTCCCTGCAGCGGAACCCTCCCTCCCTCAGGAGGCCCAGGTATGGCACACCTGGGAACCAGGCCCCAGCCCCCCCAGCGCGGCCTGCCCGCACTGACAGCGCAGCAGGATGCAGTTGGTGTCCTCCTGGCTGGTGACCCAGCTCAGCGAGTCGCCCAGCGGACGCCGGCAGCCAGAGCACAGGAACACCAGCGGGGGCTCCGCCGGGGCCGCCTCCTCGGGAAACTTCTCGGTGCTGGCCTCGGAGGCGTCTGTGCTCACGGAGTTCCACATGCTCGCCCACTTCTCCAGCAGCCGGTGGCGGCCCGAGTCCTCCGAGAGCCGCCTGCCCAACAGCGACGAGTCGTTCCTCTTATCCTTGAGGTCACCCGCGCAGCAAGTGGAGGTACACCCTCTGTGACGATCCAATGACCAAGAGCCCGCCATAATCTACAAATAGCCCGCGCCCCAGAGCTCCAAGGGAAAAACGCGGCTGCGCCTGCGCGGGGCGGGGCAGCAAGGCGTCACCAGGAGGGGCCGTGGCCCAGGGGCGGGGCCGTGGCCCAGGGGCGGGGCCGTGGCCCAGGGGCGGGGCCGTGGCCCAGGGGCGGGGCCGTGGCCCAGGGGCGGGGCCGTGGCCCAGGGGCGGGGCCGTGGCCCAGGGGCGGGGCCGTGGCCCAGGGGCGGGGCCGTGGCCCAGGGGCGGGGCCTAAGGAAGGCGGTGCGAAGCCTCTAATGCGCATGCTCGCTGGCCGGCTGGGCCAGGCGGGCTAGTCCCTACGCTTTGCGTGAGATCCTCGGTTCTAAAGAAATTAAAGCTGCTAAAATTGGCTGGATTATGAGCTTAAGAAGGGTTACTCACCCTTTACGTGGAAAGGACAGCATCACTGAGAAAGCCACGAGGCCCCCGCGGCAGCTTCAGTGTTTAGTAGCAGCGGATTCGCAGCCGCCCGGGCGGAGGATTTAGGAGCATGTAGGTGCTTTCTATGGCCAGCCCCTCGGCGAGGTGCCTTGGTCCCCTAAACTTTAGCGTGCCTGAAAAGCCACCAAGGAAATTGTTCAACAAGATTCCGGGTCCCACTCTCACAGACTCAGGGTCGGAGACCGAGAATTCGCGTCCCCAGCAGCTCTTAGGGGCTATCAGCATGAGCGCTCCCACGACGGCACTGCCCTGTCTGCTCCTGAGGCCCCACTTCCTTCGAGGTGGGCAGGAACCGCTTCATCACAAGCTCTTTTTGTGCATTGTTATTTCTGGAACAAGACCTTAGAAGGGCCCTGGGTCCCTCGGACGAGGGCAGCTTGCAAAAAGTTGGAGAAGCTGGCTGGGACGGGGGAGGGGCCGGAGCGAACCGGGTGGAAAGCGAGGAAGTGCTCCACTGTGCGGATGGGGAAGCTGCGCGCCCTTGCAGGAGCCACAGACTTCCTCAGCTGCCCCAGAAAGCCAGCCTCTGACTTCAGAAGGCCCAGGTCTGGAGGGAAAGCTGGTGGGGAACCGAGGGACCACACCATAGAGAGCGCATCTGGGAGGAAAGCTACCCCCAAGGACTCGCATCTGCTCCCACTGAGCTTTGGGTATTCCTCTCAAGTCATTGCTCACTTTGCTCGATTAGATAAAACTTACTTCCAATTTTAGGGGCCATTAGCAAAAAGCAAAAGCTTTGGAGTCGGAAGTCCTGGGTTGCCCTACCCTTGCCTCCACGAGGTTGGGAGTAACCGTGTAGGAAACAGGTGGAAAGGCTATGGGCCTTCTCCGAGTCTGATCTTCATGGGTTAATGGGTCAGTACTGCACAGGGTTGTTAATGCGGATCGAGTGATAGAATATGTGCATAAGGTAGCCCTAGCACACCATGCCATTGTTAAGTAGCCTCCAACCAAAAGAAAATGCTTCAAATAATTTAGACCTTTTTTTTTTTTTCCCACCTGGAATTCTCTTCCCTCCTGCTTATTTTTATAGAGCCAAACCCGGCCTTCCTAGACTGCCGTCTTCATGCACAATGTCTCTGGTAATATTGGCACATCCACATGAATTCTTTAAGTAAATGGATAGCAACTTGAGAATTCAAGGGATGAACTCTTTGGTTTCCTATTGTCAACAATTTCCCATATGACATATCCCAGTAAAGCAACCCCTCTCCTGTATCCTCAGGGGATACTTTAAGACCTCAGTGGATGCTTGAAACCACAGATAGTAGCAACCCCTTGTTTTTTCCTGCACATACATACCCATGAGGAAGTGGAATTCATAGATTAGTCACCTGTAAGAAAATAACAATAACCAAAAATAGAACAATTTACTACAATATATAAGTATGTAAAAATACACTGTAATAAATGTTTTTTAAAACTTACAAATTGTTTGGTACTAGAATTTTCCATTTAATTTTGGACCAGGGATATTATGATTTGGATATAAGGTGTGTCACCCAAAAAACTCCTGTGTTGATGTAGGAATATTCGAAGGTGAAATGATTCGATTAATAGGATGTAACCTAATCGTTTTGTTCAAGTTTAAATGGACTGATTGGGTGGCAACCATGGGGGGGGGGGGCGGTGGCTAGCAGAGGTGGGCCTCAAGGGTTCATGACCTGGAAGAGTTCATCTTTCCTGTGGCTCTTTCATCTCGCTCCCTCCTTCTCTCTGCTTTCTGGCCACCATGAGCTCCCACACCACACCCTTCTGCATGATGTTCTTCCTCCTCTTGGGCCCAGAGCAATGACATCAACCAACCATGGACCAAACCTCTGAAACCATGAGCCAAGATAAACTTCTCCTCTAAGTTGACCTTGTCAGGCATTTTGGTCACAGTGGTAGAAAACTGACTAACACAAGGGACAGATGAAGCCAGTAAAAGAAAAACTGCAGAGAAGGGGACTAATGAATGCCAAAGCAGGGCTGCATGGTGACTTTCAGGGACCCAACACATTTCTGCCTTGATGGGCCCTTTCCTCCATAAAAACTAAATAAAAATTATACAATTTTGTACCTGTGTTACTATAATTTATATATATATATATATATATGTAAATTATATAGGAAAACATTTTCCTTGACATAAAAGTTAACTTTTTTCTGGTTTTAAATGAAATTAAGCTTCTCATGGGGGACCCTTAAAAGTATCATGGATCCTGGGCACTATGCCTAATGGAAGTATCATGGATCCCCTTGTGACTAATGGAAGTCAGTCCCAATGCAAAATAAATTCCTCTGTAGGCACATGTGTTTTACGGTGTGATATAAAATAATTAAGAAGTCTCGAAATCACTGGGGACAAAATGAAATGCTTGAGGATCGTGACCTTGGATTGGTTGGTGGTAGCATCTTTCTGAACCATCTTTCCTTCTAGTTATACAAGGAAGGGATTTTGTCCAACTCCACCACAATCACCACCAATCCCAGGAATGGGTTCCCAGAGATTTAAACCATGGGCATGAAACCAAGATATGATAGAGCAGGTTCAGGTGAAAACTTCCTGCCTCTTTCTTACCCCATGTTAGTTCAGACAGGCAGGGAGCAGGGGAGGCGAGAGACGGTAGACCCAGCTATGCCCCCTTCCCCACCTTGGGCAGCTTCCCATATCGATCAGCACTATCATTTCTTCATTGAGATTCTGTCTGCAGCTAAAGTAGCTGCGGAACTGACCACTTCCTCAGAAGCCCTGGCAGAACATGGACTCCAATTCCCCAAATATGGGGGGTGTTTCTTTACAAAGTATGAAATGACAGTGGTGTGGACAGCACCTAAGAGAAAACCACGAGAGATAGTGCAAGAATCTGGGTTTTCAGGAATGAGTCTAGGTTAGCGGCCCAAACCACCTTTCGCTGGACCCACAGGGATACCAGGAGAGAAACTGCTAGAAGCCTGAAGGAGAGAGAGTTGTGAGAAGCAGCTCTCCTTGAGAGAACTGCTTTTCAGTTGAAGTGACCAAGTGACCGTTCAGGAGAAAGGTAAGATATTGAATCCCCTCACCTCGCCCTTCTTCCCTCCAGTTCCCTGCTGGAGCTCCCCATGGCCCGGATCCAGCCAGAGTCCAGCAGATGTGGAGCATGTTGATGTCACCCATCAGGTCAACCTCCCACAGTAGAGAGCAGGGTGCATGGTGAACGAGGGGCCAGTCACTGACCTAACCAGCTCCATTTTGCCTGTTTAACTTTTTTTCCTTCTGAGTTCTCCTGAATCATTCTCTCCTGCAGTGACCTTGGGTTCCAGGAACAACAGGTCTCATCCATAAACATCTTTATGATAAGGAATGGAAGCTACTCCCAAGCAACAGTGAGCCTCACAGACAGATCACCCCATGATGAGATTGCCCCCCTAAGCAGGAGCAGTTAACCCATGGCAGGAACCGAGGCTGCTCCCCTGAGCAGGACCAACCATCTCCTAATGAGAACAGAATCTCCCCCTCAAGTGATGACAAATTCCCGGGAACTTTGTAGAACCAATTCTGAGATAATAATAATCAACCAGACCAAAGCCTGACCAAGGTGACCTGTTTTGCCAGCTATTCAAAGCCCCCAGCTATGTAAACCCTAGACCCTTGCCTTTGTTCTCTTTGCTATGAAATTTCAAAGTTCTTGTTACCCCCTTGGAGACAAATCTTAAGTCACTAAACCTCTGTTGCTCTTCCAAGCATGCTGATAAATTCCTTTCCTGCCTTCACACTGATTATCTCTTTGGTTGGCATCTTGGGAGAGGTGGCCAAACCTAGTCCTTTGGAACCCCCAAGAGCCGTGTCTAAAATTCTGGTAACAGGGAATATCTGAAAGACACCCAGAGACTGTCCTTGATTTAGTCCAGGGCAAGTAGAATAAGTTCTAAATATATAGAGAGAAGCAAATGTCAAGTCAAGTTCCATTTTTATTCCACCCTTTGGACTTTCCTGTTCATCCATCAGTTACTCAGACGACCTGATTCAAATCTCATTTCTGGCTTGGTTCAGAAGCCTTGGTGTAAATAACAAACAAATTCTAGTCCAACTCAATGTCAAGTGCTAGCGTTGGAGTGGGGAGTACTAATAACTAGGGAAGAGAAGGAATGGGGAAAAGGGAGACAAACCAGATGAGGTCTCGACAATTTTGCCAGAAGAATTATGGATTCTTAAAAGTGCTCTGACGATTGAGGAAAATTAGAAATTAATGGCTGCTGATTACAGTCCCAGAGTAGATTTCGATGGCGTGGACTTCCTTACACTTACACACGAGAATGACAATAAGATGTGATTGCAGGTTGCTGGCATCAGACAGCTGGCTCTTGAGTACGTGGAGAATTGGTTGCAGCTGCATTGGAGAATCATCCGATCCAACTTTTTCTACTAGAGATATGTCTAGAAGGCAAATGGCACCAGAGGCTGCCTTCCCTGACAAGCTGGCGCCAAGAGACTGCCATACTGTGTGCTCAACCCCCAGGGACCTTCTGCCACCATGACAGCCCTCCCTAACAGGATAAAATGCATTGTGGGAAAGTGTGGTTAGATATTTATATCTGTGTTC